GGAGTGGCTGGATTGTGTTTGTCTTCAGGAGTTCCCACAGAGGCCCAATTCAGGTGAGGGTCAGATGTTTTCAGGCTTTCTCCTAAGGTCTTGATCCCTCCAGGCCCAATTTTGGCCTCAGGAATTTGGGGGTTGGACTGGCCTGGTAGCCTGGCCCAGGAAAAATGCTGGTCTAGGGCAGCTGCTGGCCATGCCACTGAGAGTTGCAAAGGTAGTTGGGGCGGGAAGAGGCCCCAAGGCCTCCTGGGGTCTGGACTGAGGAGCTGGGTTGGTCTGGATGCAAAGGATCAGGAAGAGGAAAGGTCAGCCCCAGTGTTCCAGAAAGAGGTTGGCAGGTGATGGAGGCCCAGGGAAGCAGAGGGAGTTGAGGGTGAGGCCAGGCCCAGAAGCAGTGCTCCTGGGGCCCAGAGAAGGCACTATGTTGGTCTGGGTGAAAAGGATCAGGGAGCAGTACTGGTTCCCCAGGTGTCTGGGGCCCCAAGACAAGGAATGGGGCAGGGCCCAAAAGGAGAGAACAGGGGGTGGAAATAGGAGGTTGAATGAGCCTGGGGGAGTCAGGGCATGGAGGGCGCAATGGACTTACCCCAGAGAGAGGCCTGCAGGTAGGAGAGAGGCCTGTGGTGGTCCTGCAGGCCCAAGGAAGCAGAGAGAGGTGAGGGCAGGTCCAGGCCCAGAAGCAGAGATCCTGGGTCCCAGAGAAGGCACTCTGTTGGTCTGGATGAAAAGGATCAGGGAGCAGTATTGGTTCCCCAGGTGTCTGGGGCCCCAAGACAAGGAATGGGGTAGGGCCCAAATTCAGAGGAGAGAAGGCGGTGGAGATGGGAGCGTGAATGAGGCTGGGGGAGTCAAGGTGCAGAGGGCGCAATGAATTTACCCCAAAGAGAGGCCTGCAGGTAGGAGAGAGCTATATTTTATTTTTTTAAATAATTTATTGAGAATTTCATACATACATATAGGGTGTTTTGATCAACTTCCCCTCCAACTCCTCCCATATCACCCCATCACTTTTTTCTGATAACCTCATGTACTCTTTCTTCTTTTTTATGTGGGCTTTTTGCTACTCTAACATTCTGCCCTCTGAAAAGGTAACCCTAAAATGTTTTAAGGACTAGATAAGAGCTCCCAAATACTTTCAAAAATACTTTCGGCATTTTTGGTCTTTGGAACGGAGTATGTTGCTAAGAGGCCCAAGGACATTTTGACTTTTAGCCAAGAAAATGGCTACTTTTCTTTTGGGTTTTTTGGTGTCGTTTTGGGAGATAATTATGTTTGTTGGTTGGTTGGTTGGTTGGTTGGTTGGTTGGTTTTGATATAATGCTGGCCTTGAACTTAGATCCACCTGTCTCCCCTGGGATTATTAGCATGTTCCACCACGCCTGTAAATATGTAAATTTTTAAAGAAAAGGTTTTAGCTTTTTGTTTGGTTGGTTTTGAGATAGGGACTTCCTGTAGCCCCAGGTGGCCTGGAGCTGGCTATATAGACTAGATTGACCTCAATCTCGTTGAGATTTTCCTATCTGTGCCATCCTAATTCTGGAATTAAAGGTATGCAACACCTTGCATGACATTTTCTCTTTTCTTGTTTTTTGTTTTGTTTTTATTTTTGTTTTGATTTTTTTTGTAATTTTTTTACTAAATTTCTGTGTATTTCATACAGAAAATATCAATCTTGATCATCTTCGTGCCTCCTTCCCCACTGGCACCCTCCCATAACACCCCACCCCACAGGAATTAATACATTATGTTAAGGCCTATTGTGTTAAGTTAGTGTCCCCAGACATCTCTTAGTGTAAGTTCATCTACTGGGGTCTATGCAGCCCATCTAGAGGTCCTCCCTTTGAGAAGATCAGCTCTTCCTCACCCAGCAGTAATCAACTGCCAATAATTATTCGATTGAGACAGTGCTTATTACCCATTTCTATAGTTCTGTGCTGGAGCTTTTTTCTGCTTGAATTTTCATAGGTCTTGTGCATGCTGACACCATTGCTATAGATTCATATGAGCAAGGTCCCAAGAGCTTGCAGGAATCTATTTTCACATGGTCATGCACCTGCTCCCTGGCTCTTAATTCTGCCCCCTCTTCTGCAATGGTCCCTGAGCCCTGGATTGGTAGAATTTAATACCAATTTGTCCTATCCAACAACCCACATTTTTCAGACTCTTACTCTCCATGCTTTGGTCATTTGTGACCTTTTATGTTCCTGGCCCTCTGTTGCATGAGAGAGCTTCATTGATGAGAATTGAGAGATACATTAGTGTCCTCTTTACCTTTTCCTTGTTATATGCTCTTTGATCCTTAGGTGTATGTGGAGGTTGCATTGTAGATGTGTCACTTAGTCCTGAGTAATTCACAGACAATGCCTGTGTGTAACAAGCTGTCTGTGATAGTCTCCATCTACAGAAAAAGAAGCATCTTTGATCAGTAGTGACTAGAATACTTGTCTGTAAATATAAGGATCCATATTTTGCACATAGTAAGAAATTACATTGCCTAGGAATATGAAAGCCTTGGAGATTTCTCTAAGATCTAAGATCCCTCCAGCCATGTGTATTTGGCTATGTTTACAGTATCACACATGAGCTTCCTCCCATGGAGTGGGCTATAACTCCAATTAGGTAGCTGTTGATTATCCCCAAGATAAAAGTGCCACTACTGCACCAATTTCATTTGCTGTGCCTGTCACTGATGTAGTTATTAGGCCTTGAAGCTGGGGGTTGGACCATCGATTAATGTTCTCCCTTAGCAGCTTGTATAGTGCTCTCCAAAGCTATGAGGTATTGCCTTCAGGGGAGGTGGCTTCCAGGTCAGTTCCGGCTCCAGTGCTCTAAATCCTGTGTCCAAAGTAGGTCTTGTCTTCAGCGATAGGGTCTTACCTTCAAGTTCTGGGAGGCAATCAAGGGCTATGGCAATAGCCTGTGTAGTTATAGGAGTCTCTTGGAGTACTCTGTCTAACAACTCAAAGAAAGGTTTCTCCTGTCTGGCACTCTTGTTATTTAGCCTTCAGCTGTATGCATGGATTCATGTAGGGATATTGTATGTGTAATATGTCAGCAGGTTTTAAGATTAATATGATTCCCTGTGGTTTTTTACTCTAGCTAGACATGATTTATCTCTCTCTCGCTCTTTGACCCTCCCTCCATGCCCTCCCTCTTTAAAGTATCCCCATTTTTCCTATTTCTCCCTTGACCGTTTTCTCTTTTCTTAATCCCTTACTAGTTTCTCTAAATATCCACAATGTTTCCTGAGGCTTAACCCTTCACTAAAACATTTCATTAAGGAAAAGCCAATCCTAACTTACTTTGGGCAAGCATGATCTACTGCATTCTTTCTAAAGGTTACCTTATATTTTTGATTTCTTGGCTATGAGTTTTAATAATACCAGCTCACCACTTTCTCCTTGGATCTTTTTTTCAATTTTTAAGAAATATAGCTCATGTGGTTTTGGTGTACTCTCTATTCCTAAGTACCTATGGAAATTTTCCAAGCATTTCATCAAAGTTGATGAAAAATTACTTTCTTCCTCTTCCGACACTTGCTAGTCTTTTCAATTAGGGTTCATAGATCCCCTTAAGAAGATGAGGCAATCGCATTATCAGAGGAGACTTTTTGCTTAGTGTCTCCAAGGTTACATGCCATTCCCTACTTTCTTGCAGGGCACACCTAGGTTTAGAGCTATGGATGGGCATGGACCAATATCCAAAGAAATGAGACTCTATCTGTTGCTGTTTCTCATACTGTCACATGCTAAAAATTGAATATCTGATGAAAAATACTTAGAAATGATTTTCCAAACACTCTTTCTTATCTTTCCAGAGATTAAATACCCATCAATATCTATTTTTTTCTTCTTGATCATTTGGACAAATTCTCTGTAGCTGACTAGGAGTACTAAGCCAACCAATGGGACCTTTTTCTGATAAGTTCCTCACAGTTTCTTGTGTATTCACTGGTTAGCAACTGTTCCAAAGTTATACATCCACCTTCCTCTCCCAGACCACAATGTAAATATCTACTAGTGCTGGGTCTCACTCATCTCTGATAAAATCTCACAAACACAATCAGTATTTGCCAAGGCTTTAACTTCTCTTTTGGATACAGTGAAGATAGATTAAGATGAAAATGTTAAGTCTATTTGCAAGTTGTCCCTATGTATTCATGATGAAACTGTTTATGGTCTTCTACAGTTGTTTCTGAAAGTTCTCAAGGTGTTGCAGCATAAGATCACTTTCTGGCTCTTATCTCTTCACTTATAATTCCTGCCATTGAGCCAGTGTATTTCCCTGGCTGGAGTATTGCTTCTCAATCTTATGAACAAAACATTCCCCTCTCTCTTACCTTTTGGCTTGGGCCCAGAACCTACATCCCTAGTCTCATTCTGTCTCTTGACCTTGAAACCATGTTGCTGATACACACACACACACACACACACACACACACACACACACACATGCACACACACACAGAGCATGAGAGAGAGAGAGAGCGAGAAAGAGAGAGACTTGCTACAAAGAGAATCACTTGCATTTGCTTACAGTAGTTTCTGCCTAATGGTGAAACATAATCCAGCCAACTCTCCTAGTCTCTTGTAGGTGATAAACATATCATTTTCTGCATTTGAATGACTATGCTAAAAACCAATTGATTCTCCTTAATGATATCACTGAAGACAAATGAGAGGTTATTCCATGGCCCAACAAATATTTATTGAATGCCTTCTGTTAGCCAAGGATTGCAAATAGAGCAAAATGGATTCAGTTCACTCCTAGACACAACCATATCTCTAATAGCTTGTCTCAATAATGGTGATTCCATACCGATTACCCCAAGTAACAGGAATGTCATCATTATCTATTCCACTGGTACACTGTGAATAGCTTTCAGCAAACATCAAGTGTAAATATCTTTTAGTAAACTGCTAATGAATGAATGTGTGCCACTGAACAAATCAGCCCAGTCCTTCCATGTGCTGTAATGACTGCCCACGTTTTTATTTTCTTAGGTGTTTCAGTCCCTATCCCAGTGATTGGACTGAGGGATGAAGAGAAAGTGTTCGTGAACAATACCACGTGCGTGCTCAACGACCCAAACTTCGTTCTTATCGGATCCTTCGTGGCTTTCTTCATCCCACTGACGATCATGGTGATCACCTACTTCCTGACGATCTACGTACTGCGCCGTCAAGCTTTGATGTTACTCCGAGGTCACACCGAGGAGGACCTGCATAAAATCAGCCTGAATTTTCTGAAGTGCTGCAAGAGGAATGCCGATGAAGAGAGTCCTGCGAATCCCACTCAAGATCAAAACCCACGTCCAAAGAAGAAGAAAGAAAAACGTCCTAGGGGCACCATGCAGGCAATCAACAACGAAAAGAAAGCTTCCAAAGTCCTTGGCATTGTATTCTTTGTGTTTCTGATCATGTGGTGCCCCTTTTTCATTACCAATATCCTGTCTGTTCTTTGTGGGAAGGCTTGTAACCAAAAGCTGATGGAGAAGCTTCTGAATGTGTTTGTTTGGATCGGCTATGTTTGTTCAGGAATCAATCCTTTGGTGTATACTCTCTTCAACAAAATTTACCGAAGAGCTTTCTCCAACTATTTGCGTTGCAATTACAAGGCACAGAAAAAGCCTCCTGTCAGACAGATCCCTAGAGTTGCTGCCACTGCTTTGTCTGGGAGGGAGCTCAATGTTAATATGTATCGGCATAGTAATGAACCTGCTATTAGAAAAGCTAATGATGCTGAGCCTGGCATAGAGATGCAAGTGGAGAATTTAGAGCTGCCAGTCAATCCCTCCAATGTGGTCAGTGAAAGGATTAGCAGTGTGTAAGCAAGAGCAGCACAGCCTTCCTACAGGGAAGCTACAGATGTAGGAATATTTTCTCTTTTGATTATCCTTTGGGTCATACATAACTAATGTAAATACTAATGTGTGACAAAACGGTGTTTTTATATATAGCTTTGCAACCCTGTACTTACAATCACGCATTAATAGTGAGATTTAGGGTTCCATATTTACTGTTTATAATAGATGGAGACTGAGTTATTTTGATTTCTTGATGAATAGTGTTTGTGTTTTTCTTTCCCTTCCTTCCTTGTTCCTTTCCTTCCTTACTCCTTCTTTCCTTTCTTCCTTCCTGTCTCTGTTTCTTTTAAGAATGTAAAAATGTTAATGTTCATCTCAGGTGGCATTTGCAGGAGACCAGAGTGATGTACATGACCATGGTGATATTTCACACTACACCCAAATTGACAGATTCAATGGTATCTTTTCCGGGTTAACAGTAAATAAGGACTTTAAATTCTCTGTCTGCTCATCTACACAAGTAAATACAGTAACATAGGTTCTGCCTTGTGAAAAAAAAAGTTCATCAGTGAATCAAAGGCTGAACTAAGCCTTCTCTTTACATATCGACGCAAAATTTGACATTGTCAGAATGTTGTGTCAGTATTTCTGCTGCAATGTCTGTCCCCGAACATAGTGGTATTTTAACATAGCAGCTGGTTAACCGGGACTACAGAAGTGGAAGGATAATAAAGAGATACATGTACCAAACAGCTTTTCACTTCTTAAGGACAATGTTCAAATTCTGATTACTCCAACAAGCAAACTGGAATTAGTGTTGTCATTCTGGTCCTTAGTAAATACCTAATTCCACAACTGAACTGGGAAATGAGATTCCAGAGTTATTTCCCATTCCAGGATTCAACATCAATTGGGTTTTGATCTCGGAATTCTGGAAATTCGTGTGCTACACACAAAGTAAAATTTGCATTTTGAGCCTTATTAAAATATTTTCTTAATTATGGTACCTCTATCTATAGGACCCAATTTAGCAGTCCATGTTTAAGTAAAACTAGTGTGAGAAAGGTAGATAACAAAAGCCTTGGGAGTTTTACTTGATTAAGGACTACCGAATTAGGCCCTTAGAATGTGAAAAAAGAAATTAAAAAGACGCTTTTACTGAACTCTGGGAAGAAGAGAAATACGGAGTTTCCATTTGGATTAAAAAAAAAAATATCTCATTTTCAGATCCTTCCAAACTCTCTAGTGCGGGAAAAAGCTGCAGCTAATTGTGAACGTGGCAAGCTCTCCATTGTGCTGCAATTATGTACCAGAAATTTAAATCTTTGTTAAAATATAGTGTTGTGTTACAATAAGTGTTGGCCATCATTTCATTCCTGGGCCTGCTGCTCTCTAAGAATTAAGTATCATTTTAATAGTTTGTAAACCATGAAAGGTTTGCAAACATTGCTAAAGTCAGACCATTAAATCTATGCTGTGTGCAGAGTATACAAGTGTTCCCAGTAACTATGTTTCCATGTGTGTCCATTTCGCACAACTGTGGCTAAAGTTCTGAAGAATTCATGATGCTATTTCTATGCCTGACAGTTACTTGCACACCTTGGAGTGTGCCTCTTAGTATCTTAAAATTGGTGAATGCAGAATCTGAATTTCTAAAGCTCCTGGAGTGTGTTCTCAACATACAGCATAGATAAATCCAACAGTCTGCCACAGGGGCAGTGGGAGGGCAGCTGTATTTGAGGAAACTCAAACAGTCTCTATTCAATCTACAACACTGCCAAATGTCAGTCAATTGCTTGAGCATGCCCAACCATAATATGAAAGTGAAGTCTACCTGCCTGTTAGGTCAGTTGAACTGCATGTTAAAACAATTACCTGAAATTGAATAATATGATCCAATTCCTACTGAAATGAAGATGTCCAAAGAAACACAGCATGCATTTTGCATGAATTCTGCACTTACAGATGGTGCTGTGCATGTACGCCAAGTATGTTGCATGAATCCACTGATCCGTATTAATGTATGGCAGAGTAGGCGATATAAAAAGCCTGGAGAAAAACCCTTCAGCAGTCCCTAAAGGGCATTCAGATCTGAAGTTTTGTATTAGAGAAAATTGGAAACATCTGATTTCTTTCTTAACTATCAGGGCAAGCTCATAGCACATGTTTTACAGAGAAAGTATAAACCACGGATTTCCAAAAGCAGTAGCAATAAGTTGAATGATAATAGCTTATAGCACATTCGTTAAGAATTCTTACATCATCAAGTAGTAGTACTTCATAGTACCCAACACAGTAATTATCCTCAACTTGTGTGCTATTTGTAAGTTCTGTGCAGTTTGGTATGAAACAAATATATTCATTTGGATATAAATCTTACAGTTCAATGTAAAATCTACAAACTTTTATAAGTGTTTTAAAAATTCATGTGATAAATGTAAACGTGGTGAATTTACTGTCAAATCATTTACTGTTTAAGACACGTGCAACAGACTGCCTTATATAATTTCCTGTAATTTTTCTCCTTTGTCAAATGGTACTTTTGTGAATGGTTGCAAAGTGTTGTCCTATTCCTGATCCCTGTATGTGATCCACTCCTGTTTTGTGATACTTCCTCTTAATTTATTAAATTTATTAAATGTTGCCTAGCATGTCATGTGTCTTTATTTCCTCGTACATTTATTCAGGAAAAACGAATGCTTTCATTTCACTTTCTTTGAAAAGTAAAATTTATTGCTGTAAGTTTACAAAGGGAAACACTATCAGAAAATATCACTTCATCTGACTAATTATGGCTGTGTTCTAAAAGACAAGAGAAGGAAAACAAGAGGTGTAGGGGCTGGAGAGATGACTCAGCAGTTAAGAACACTGCTCTTGCAGAGGAACCAGATTCGATTCATAGAACTGTTTTCTTTTTCTTTTTTCTTTTTTCTTTTTTTGGTGTTTTTGAGACAGGTGGCCTGGAACCTGTAGTCCCAGGTGGCCTGGAACTTGCTATGTAGACCAGACTGGCCTCGAACTTATAGAGAGCCACCTGCCTCTGCCTCCCAAGTGCTAGGATTAAAGGTGTGCACCACCACACCCGTCCTCAGCCAGAACTGTTCTTAACTCCAGTTCCAGGGGAATCCAATGCCCTCTTCTGACCTCTGCAGCATTGCACGACATGAGTGCACTCACATATATGCAGGCCATATGCTCAGACACATAAAATAAAAATAATAAGTAAAATGTTTTTTTTAAAAAAGAAGTGTGACCAACAAAAACAGCATCAACAATAGCAACACATCCCTCACAAGGAGAATAGCCACACTGCTACTTTATTCCAACTTCCTTCCCTGAGCACGAGCTCGGGAGGGCAACTCACATAATTTCATTGCTATAGCTATTATTTTATTATTTTCTTCTTCTCACCAGACTCTATGATCCTGAAGGATAGACAGGACATCTATCTATCTTGTTGATTTTATTTGCAACATTTAGCAGCTATTTTTCCTCACCAGATATGTACCACACATCAATATATCTGGTGCTAAGTTGTCTACTCCTGCGGTCGAATGAGTGCCAAGAACTCCCATTCTTCATAAAATAGTGGGGCACAGTCACCTTTTTTTGCTTTTCAACTCAGATGGCTTTTGACAGACAACTCCAAAATCATAGAACCATTATATAATGTAAGTCTGCTTCTCTGTACCTGAAACCACAGATGGCAAAGTACATTGGCCTTTTCTTTCAACATACATAACTTCCTAGCACCAGGAGAGTCAAAGGGATGCAAGCCCAAATTCAGTTCTGAGAGAGGAAAACAAATTCAGTTCTGAGAGAAGCATCAATGTTTAATTCCTTTGCAAAAATGAGTATGTTATTTCCCAGAAATTGAACTTCCACCTGAAATAATAGATTCACTGCTATGCATGACCAGAATTTTATTTGTTTATTTATATTTAGTCATTTATGATACAAAGTCTCACTAAGTTGGCTAGGCTGGACTAGGAACTGCTATATAATCCAGACTGGCCTTGAAATAATGGTTTCTGTCCTTAGTTTCCTGAGTCCTAAGGTTACAGATGTGCATCACCATGCCAGGCACCAGAAATGATTTATACTGCTGAAGCCAAGGGTTGCTTGTACCTAACATTGAGGCAATAGAAAAAGGCTGAAATTTTTCAGTGTGTGTGTGTGTGTGTGTGTGTGTGTGTGTGTGTGTGTTTGTGGTGTATATACCGTGACATGCACATAGAGGTCAGAGGAACACTTTTCAGACATCAGTTACCAGCTTCCATATTGTTTGGACTTTCTTGTTTCTGTCTCTACACAGTGTACTCCAGGTTATCTTGCTTCCAAGCTTCCAAGCTTCTGGTTGGTTTTACTGCCTCTACCTCCCATATTGCTATACAAATGTAGGAATTACACATGTGTGCTACAACTTCCAGTTTTTTACATGGGTTTCAGGAATCAAACTCATTTTATCAGGTTTGTGCAGCAATTGGTTTTACAACTGAGCCATCTCCCCAGCCCAAGGCTTCAGTTTCCTCATGACCCAAAACTGGAGTCACTATTACCAGTGAAAGGAAATGTGAGTAGGAATGCAATGACGTACCTCAGTCCATATGCCTGAACTGCTCTTCTGCTCAGAGGAGTAGGAGAAGGATATGTTCCTTACAACCATATAGCAGTAGGTTTCTTGTTTCCACAGTTTCTGGGCTCCCACTTAGTGCAGTGTGACTTCAGCAGTTTAGGCTCATTTCCCCTTATATATTTTCCTTACTTTTATGATAACATATCAACTAGAGAGCTGAATATATTAGAAATATATTTACATATGTACAGGAGTAGATGGCACCACAGTGGTTCTCTAATATGACCTATAGCAGACTTACAACAAGAGTAAATCTAGCATAAATCTGATTTGTGTTCCCAGACATAAATTCTGAGATGGTGATAACTGTGCAGGATGTTTATTGACATGGAGCCTTGGGATCTGTGTGTCTGGGGAAAGAAAGAAAATAGGGTAGTGATGCACTTACTATGAGGATTTATTGCCTTGTACCTTTACAACTTAAGAGACCCTGTATCATCTCATTTTCTTTGAAAGTTAAATTCTATAAAATGCATTCATAAAGAAAAACACACCAGCAAGATTAACTAACTCTTCTTGACTAATTATTCATGCACTCAATTATAATATCAGATGTAAGGGGCTGGAGAGATTTCTCCGTGGTTAAGAGCACCAGCTGCTCTCTCAGAGGACCTGGGGTCAATTCCCAGCATGGACATAGCAACAACCATCTGTAACTCCAGTTCCAGGGCATCCATCAACTTTTTCTGTCCTCCTCAGGCATTGCGTGACATGGGTGCACTTGCATACATGCAGGCAATACACTAATACACATAAAATAAAAATCATAAAATATTTTTTAAAAAATACCAGATTTAAAATTATTACACTATGACGCTTAGTGGATTCTATGGGATTCTTGAATTTAGTCCAGCCCTTTAAAGTTGCTCCAAGTGGAAGTGAAAGGGCCAGGCCTTGACATTTCCACTGGGTTCAGGAGAGATGAGTGACTATTCTCGGCTGCTGTCTTTATCAGAGGCAATTCCCAGAGGACTGGGAGCCATCAGCCCACAACCCTCTGAGCACCTAGAAAAAAAACCGTTCACTCCTATAGAAGGGATCCTGGTAGAGTGGCATGGCACCCATAACAAAAAGGATGTGTATGGGATAAAAAAAAAATGATTTAATGATGCTTGGCCTAGTGGCAGAGGTATTCAAGGCCAGCATGGGCTACATTGCAAATTTCAGACCCACCTGGCCAACGCAAAATAAAAATTTAAAAGTAGGTTGGAATAGAACTCGGTAGTAAAGTGCTTGCCTAGCATGCATAAAAGCCGTAGTTCAAACTCTAATACTCTCCCCCACCTCCTACCCAATCACCATACTAAGATGTTTTTCTATAACAATTCACTCTGAGAACAATAGTGTGGAGTTCCTACACCAAGCAACTCTCCAAATCTCTGAAGACACCAAAGTGGTATCCTATAGTTTAAGTCTGTGGACCAAGAATAAAATGAACCTCAAGAGAGCAAAGAAAATTACATTTGCTGGGGTCTAATTTGAGAGAACAAAGATTCTGTCTTCAAAATGTACTCTGAGGTTTTGTAAAAACTTTAAACCACAAAATGGGTTGGAAATTCCACTTGTTATGAATTGATTGGTGCCAGAAAAAGTTAAGCTGTCATCTAAGAAAAGAGGTTGAGTGCTATTTCAGTTACTTGGCAATTTTGAGAAAAGGATCCCTGGAGCCAAAAACCAGTCATCACCCTCAACTCTAGGGTGTGGGTGCCACTGTGAAGTTTCAGCCAGAACTAGCTGAAAAAATTCTCTTGCTGTCTATAGCACAGACATTAGAACAAAAATCTAATGGAAATATCTCCTAAGAAAGAAGAGAGATAAAATCATCAGCCATAGACTTCTCGCCATGCCCAGTGCATGGAGAGGAGCAGTCCCTGTTCCAAGATTCCAGGGAAAAGCCTTTCAGTTTTGGTTTGGTTTATTCTGATCTTGATGAGTAAATTGTCTTCAGAAGAAATTCAGGACAAAATCCCCAAATGTTGCCACATTATCAGTCTAGGGGTTATCAGTCTAGGGGTTCTAAGATGGTCACCATCTAGAAGTCAGGTTCATTTTCTCAGCTAATTAAAGAATTAAAAGACATGAAAATAATCTCAGACATAGCAGAGCTTTTATTTAGAAAGAATAAAGAATCACACAGGCATACACAGAAAAATAAAGCTCTCCACAAGTAGAAAGGGAATCCTGAAATGGAAAATCCAAAGAACCCCCAGGGAAGACCTGGGTTTTTAGAGTTTTAGTGGTTTTCTCCTCCCCCCAATTTAGAATTGGTCAACTTAAACAAAGAAGAGAAGACTGATAGTTCATAGCGCCAAGCTGAGATATGTCCAGGGCTACATGACTACAAGCAGGTCAGTTGAAAGGGCCCTGCTGGAGTCAAAAATAATTCCTTCCTGCTGAATCAAGAAGAAACAGGAAGTAAGATGAAGCCATCTTTACAACCCTTCAGTGACCCTGTTTGCTTATCAAAGGTTTAATCCTATATAAAACAATATTATGCCAGATGTGGTGGCACACGCCTTTAATCCCAGCACTCAGGAGGCAGAGGCAGGCAGATCTCTGTGAGTTCACCACCAGCCTGGTCAACATAGTAAGTTCCAAGACAGCTGGGGCTACAGAAACACCCTGTCTCAAAAAGACCAAAAAAAATTAAATAATATTACGTGATATTTTGGGCATCTTAGAACAACGTGTCTCCATCCAGGGCCTGAGGTAGAACTCAAAACTCATTCTTTTGACCAGGAGGAAGTGGATTCTTTTAATG